GGGAGAAGCAGGCTTCTCTCTGAGCAGGGAGCCCAATGTGGAGCTCGATCCCAGGACCTGGAAGCATGACCTGAGCCGAAGGCAGACCCTTAACGATTGAGCCACCCAGGCGCCCCTAAAATTTACTTTGCAATTTAATACTGACTTTCTATGGGGCACCTGGATGGCTCAGTCGGCTAAGTGTCTGCCTTCGGCTCAGGTCATGATCCCAGGGTCCTGGGATCGAGCCCTGCATCAGGATTCCTGCTCAGTGGAGAACCTGCTTCTCCCTCTCCCTCTGCTGCTCCCCCCTGCTTGTGCTCTCTCTCTGTCTGTCTCTGTGGAATAAATAAATAAATAAATAAAAATAAAAAACAAAATTGATTTTCTAAATTGTCAGGTTTCTAAAAGCGTAGCTAAAGCAACCAATGGCAAGCCCCATAGGTGCAATAGACTTACCTGGATGTTCTTTTATAATGATCCTCATATAACCAACTAGTCCATATGTCCTACAGATCAAAAGAGGTATTTGTGAATTCCAAAGGACATCCGCTAAACGTAGTAATGTACTGTAAAGGAAAGCACAATAAATAAGAACATAAGCAAATGGATATAGGCCAAACATGAAAACACTCTAAAATAAAGCAACTTTCTTACTAAGTAATAAATGCAAAGATATATCTATTATATTTACACAAGCAGATCATGGATACATTGAAAAGCAATTCCACAAGACTGCAGCCTCACAGAAAGTGTATCTCTCGGACTAGAGGAACATGAAAGCCTCCTCTTTTGTATTAGGGAGAATGTTATTGAAAGACACTTCTTACACGTTTCCATAATAACGAAGAAAATATTTATAAAACCCTCATCTACACCCCCAAGCACACTCTGTAATTCTAACTAGTTTTCTTTTTCACTAAAAAATAACCAATGTTTAATTTAACTGCTCTAAATATAGTAGGAAAAGTTTCACATCTCAGTATTTTTCTCTTCCCCATCTTTTTGATGTTGGAGACTTATAAGCACTTCCATTAAAGGTTTCTGTGGAGTTTAAGAACTTTAAGAACTACAGGGGTACTGGGTAGCTCAGTCAATTAAGCATCCGACTCTTGATTTCGGCTCAGATCATGATCTCAGGGTCGTGAGACAGAGACCCACACCAGGCTCTGTGCTCAGCAGGGAGTCTTCTTGAGATTCTCTCT